TAACGGGCAGATCCTGTTTTCTGGTTTCTGTGACTTATTTCTTGTAACTTCCTGAGAAAAGATGCATGTAAGGTAAATTTCTTCAGGTCTTTTTTTTTTTTTTTAGATTTTATTTATTTATTTGAGAGAGAGAAATGAGAGAGAGAGAGCACATGAGAGGAGGGAGGGTCTGAGGGAGAAGCAGACTCCCTGCTGGGCAGGGAGCCCGATGCGGGACTCAATTCCGGGACTCCAGGATCATGACCTGAGCCGAACGCAGTTGCCCAACCAACTGAGCCACCCAGGCGCCCTTCTTCAGGTCTTTAATGTCTAAAGTATCATTAGCCTACCACCACAATCACAGCTTGGCTGAGTATGGCATTCTAGTATGAAAATCATTTGCCCTCAGTATTTTGAAATCATGTCTCCACTATCTTCTAGCACCTGCTGTAGCCACTAAGTCTGATGCCACGTGGATTTCTGAGCCTCTGTGGGTCTTGTTTTCATTGCTGATTGTTTGATCTTTTCTCTGTGGAAGCTGTTAGGATTTTCTCTTTATTCCCGCTATTCTGAACTTTCACAGTGATTTCCCTTAGTTGTTTTTTCTTTTTCTTTACATTTTTTTTTCTTTTAAAATTAATTCTGCAAAGTGCTCAGTGGGCCTTTTCAATTTGGAAACTCATTTCCTTAAACTGTGAAATTGTACTGAAATATACTGAAGTCTTTGATAACTTCTTCACATATTTTTTCTCTCTCTGGAATTTCTATTAATCACCTGTGGCATCATCTAATTTTCTTATTATTGTTATTTTACTGTTAGCTGAGTAACCCCCCAGTTTTTAGTACGGTGCCCCCACCTTCATCAGTGGCTGGTCTCCTGAGGTAAGAATCCTGGTTTCACCTTGCCCAGGGTCCATCTTAACTCTGGGCTATGGATGGGTACTCGCTGGATTGTGCGGGGCAGGACCAAAGATGCAGAGGGGCAGGACAGTGCCTCTTATGCAGGCGTTCAGTCCATTCCTCTGTTTGAGGCCCACCTGTGCTCTGAATTTCAGATGTACTTGGTGCCTTCAATTTCTGACTCCCTGGGGATCCATAGCATGCACCAGTTTCCCTCTTGGTGTCCCCCCACTTCAGACTTTGGTTTCCATTTTCTCTGGATGGCTAAGTCAATCTCACTTGTGCACCTGCTTTTATCTCTTTCGATCTACCTCTGACTCTGTCAGTACCACTGGAGAGCATCTCTACCGAGAGGCAACGGAGACATGATCTTCTTAACTGAGAAAGATGGTGAATGTGCTTCAGAAGTTGTGCAATAATGTTGCAGAATGTTCCCTCATGAATCAAGGCATCCTGACTCTCTGCAATCCTCTTCCACACTGAATCTGTGACTTGCCAATGGGACATTAGCAAACGCCAGTCAAGCAGAAGCTTGTGCACTGGGTGATATCCTCTGGCTGCTAGGAACTCTGAGACCACTGGGTGAAGAAGCAAAAGCCACCTCCTGCATAGTGAGAGACCACAGGGAGGGAGAAGCCGACCCACCCAGCAGAGCCCGGCCCTCAGTCACCCCAGCTCCCCTCTGACTGCAAAGGGGTGAACTCGGTTAATACAGAAGCAGAAGCACCCCCACCTGAGCCCAGCCCAAACCAACTCACACAATTGCGAGCAAATGATTGTGGTTCTCGGCCATCATGTTTGGAGTGTTCCATGACGCAAGGACTAACTGATAGGCAGGTGTCACACGGACGGTTTCTTTTTTGTTTCCTGTGCCTTTAGGGGTCACAGATCAAGGTTATGCTGTTTTTGTTCTCTGCGTCCCTGTAAGTTTACACTTCTATTTATCTCTTTATTTCCATTTTGATATGGTTTGGGGAAGAGAAAAAAAGTAAACATACAAAGCAATTCCATCCCATTTAACTGCAAGTCTCTGTTCACTTCTTCATCGTCCAATAGATACTTATTGAGCACTAGTGGATATCAGCACTTATGATGCGGCTCTCGTTTCATCTGTACAGTAATACACCACATTGGGCATTGTTTTCCCCTTTCACAGATGAGATAACCAAGACTCAGAGAGGTGAAGTGACTTGCTGGAGGTCCCACAATTAATAAGGAGGACTGTTGGGATGTGTTCTTTCAGCTGAGTGCCGATAAAGCCCCCAATAGTTCCAGTACATTTTGTTGAACTAGAAAACAGACCACAGAGAAGCAAAAGTTGGGACGGATCTAAGACCCATCCTTGAGTAGACTCAACCAGCTAGCTGGCTGGATACAGGTGGTGAACAAGAAACAACGACTAGGAATCCCATCTCCTATTTGTCTGCCTTTGATCTGGAGATGGCCATGGGACAGCACCATGAACAAAAAGGGACAACAGAGGCATGGACATCTTAATTGGGGAAGGTGGAGCATTTGCTTCTGAGGGGCTGTCTTGGCTCTTTCTCCTTCTCCCCTGCATCTTCTGCTGAGCATGGTTGTCAGCACCACTTGTGGTCTGCTTGTATTGGGGAAGATTGGTTGGTGCCACTTACAGGACGCTTTCCCAGGGTAAATGGTAGTTTCTGATCGCGCTCCTGGGTGGTGGTGGGGAGCTAAGCCCCGTGAGGCTCAATATGGTTTACGGCTGTCAAATGGTTACAAGTCCAGGCGTTGCTTGGGAAGTATTCCCAGAAGGCCCCCAAATGACTTTTGTGCTCGGTGTAAGGGAAATTAAGTGCCAAGAAAAGTGTGTTCAATTTAGATCCATCTGGTCTGTTGCTTCTTTCCTTTCTTTTTCTCTAGGAAAGAGAACTATTCAAAGATACTTTGGGAGTGCTTTAACTTGCTAGGAAGCAAGTGTGTTGCCAGCCTAGCATGCTGAAGAGCAGGGGGAAAAAGTGCTCTGATTCTAATTGGTAGTAAGCTCAGCTCAGAGCAGAGGTGGCCATCCAAGCTGCTGGTTCCCCAGGACACAGAACTTGGGAGGAAAGAAAGGGTGTGTAGTTCGAGAACACATCTAGAAGAATGCAAAGGTGACCCTTGCTAGAAAATGGTCTCTTGCGATATCTGCTGGCCAGCATGTGAACACCTGAAGGTGGGATGAACAATGTCACTGGATTCCAAACAGGAAAACCAAAATCATAGATCCTGGGTTTTCCAAGGGGCCCCAACTTCAAATACTCATTCTCAGTATCGGATCTCGATTCTGGAGTAACTCGTCAGTGAACCTATAAACCACATGAGCTTATAATAAAAGGCATGCAACTATGGCACCCTGTATGACTGTTACTAAAAATGAGGTAGATAATAATTTCCATTTATTAAGCATTTAACCATATGCCAATCGCTGTTCTAAGTGCTTTCCTGCCTTTCTTATTTTTAGTCCATCCACCCCCATCCCAGGCAACCTCAAGAGTAGGTCCTGTTATTATTTGAGTTTTACACATAAGTATACCAAGGCTCAGGGAGGTTAGTTACATTGTTCAATATCTACAGCTAATAAGTGGTAGAGTGGGATTTGAATCCAGGGGACCTACCTCTAGAACCCAGGACTACCTGGGGTCAGAGCTACACAGCCAGCTGGTAGCACAGTTGTCTCGGAGAGGGACTGAGGGAAAACAGATGGAAGCCTTTAACGTTCTACTTTATCAAATGCTATAACGTGAGCCCCGCCCCCCGCCTTAAATATGTGTTACTTGTTTGCTTTCAGCATATACGACAAAAGGAAAAGCAAGGCTGGGGAAAATGGGATAGCAATGCAGCATTTTCCCCTTTTTTTGCAATGCAGCTTTTGAGTCAGGACAAGGCACTGTCCCCATTATGTTAAAGGTCGGAATTTATTTAGGCACGAGGCAAGTCTAGGCTGGGGGCCAGGAGCTACAAAAGAAGTCAGGAACCTCAGCATAATGGAATTATCTTCAGAACCCCTATAAGCCACCTGTGGGCAAGTGGGGCTATGGGCAGGTTTAAAGCAAACCTTTGAGACAGCGCAGTGGGCTGGAAGGCACAGGTAAAGGTGAACTGAAAGAGTCCACAGCCTGGAGGGCAGGGCAAGGTCACGGCTGGAAGTACGAGCAGCTGGAAGCCAGGAGCCCCAGAGTGACTAAGCGAGCAGGGGAGGGAAACGGATGTGAGGTCCCATGAGGAGGACAGTGAGCATCTGCCTCAGCCAGGAAGCATCTTGGAGGGCTTCTGGTGATGTCTTGAAGGCAGATGAAGGCGCAGGGGGAGAGGAAGGTGAGGAGGGTCTACCTGGCCGAGCTGGAGTACGGGGAGGCAGGAAGGAAGGAGTCAGTCCTGTCGACGCCACACTAAAAACCGCTTGCTTGGCTGTCACGCAGAGCTTCCCCACGCATTACCATTTTGCAAGGTTTTCCTTTCAGGGATGCATGCAGCTCACCCTTTCAGCCCAGTAGGAAGGAGACCCCTCAGAGGGGTGGTGATGGAGTGAGGCTCTCGGGCCAGTGGGTCTGGGCAACTGGCAGTACCTAATCTGTCTGGCTCTCCACTATAGCTGCTCACCTAGCACCAGGCCGGTCACGTGGTAGGAACTCAATCATTATTTGTTGAATTAATTTGTTTGATAAAGGTGTGAAATAGCTGAATGCCATTGGAAAAATTGTGCTGTATCTTGGGATGAAAATGTCAAACCCTTTTTTGGTTTTCAGTTAGTAATCCTCTTGATCAAAACACTAATAGTTCTGATTGCTAGCATTTATTGAGTGCTTACAAGTGCTAACCCTTTACGTTTTAAGTAACAGGGAGCCCAATCCATTTTTTGAGTTAAAAGTCCAGGGACAGGGCGCCTGGGTGGCTTAGTTGGTTAAGCAACTGCCTTCGGCTCAGGTCATGATCCTGGAGTCCCGGGATCGAGTCCTGCATTGGGCTCCCTGCTCAGCGAGGAGCCTGCTTCTCCCTCTAACCCTCCCCCCTCTCATGTACTCTCTCTCTCTCTCTCATTCTCACTCTCTCAAAATAAAAATAAATAAATCTTAAAAAAAAAAAAAAGTCCAGGGACAGATCATCCTGGGTCAGGTAAAGTTTGATCAGGGGTCTGGTTTGGTTTCTCTGTGATCTAGTTCTGATTTAGTGCATGTGTTGCATTTCTGCAGGTCAGATTTTATTCATGGACACAAAAGAGCTTCTGGCAGAAGCTGAGGCCATATAATGCCTCATTCATATCTAGGAGGAGAAAGAGAGAAGGAGAAAGAGAGACAGAGAAAAAAAGAGAGTGAGATCGAGTCAGTCCTCTTAACACCCAAACAACATTTCTAAATTTTACTGACTGAACCAAACTGAATTAACCAGGAGAAAACCACATGTTGATTGGCACAGCCCAGGTAACTCATCCCCAAACCAATCAGTGTAGCAACAGGGCTGGGATTATCTGAAGTGATTAGACCAGTTGTGACCTATCCTTGAAGCTTGGGATGCAGGCCATCCTCACTAAATTTCATGGCTACTTTCAAATGGCCAGAGAGATATTTGAATGTCCATTCATTTAACCCTCACAACACTCTGTGAATTAGATCCCATGGAGAGATGAGAAAATGACTTCTGAGAAGTTAAGCAACTTGCTCAAGATCACAAAGCTAGTAATTGGCCATGTTGGGATCTCAACCCACGTCTGTCTGACACCAAAGCTCAAGCACTTGGCCACTAGACTCTATTCCCCAAATCTTAGACATAGCATGTCTCTGGTTCCCTCTAAGAGAAACCTGTTCTTGTGATCACATCCATCTGTGCTGGAGAACTCCTTGGATCTAGGATGAGTCTCCTCTAACATAAAACAAGGACTCTCCGGAGAGCTTAGGCTATGAGATCAGCTTCAGAGACCTTTGGATTCCAGCCTCACTTCGGGGAGCAACACACAGCTACCTACTTGGGCTCCGACCAAGATGTTGCTATAAAACCAGGACAGACAGTCCCTGTTCTTCTCTCAGTGGTCATTCATCAAGCAGTTACTGAGCATCTGCTCTCTGAGGACCCATCTGTCTGAACCAAAGGCTGAAATGTTGTTTCCCGTGTCCTTGTCTGGTCTTTCATTTTGGTCTGCTCCTTTGTTTATCACACCCAGAAGCCTTCTCCTCCTCCTGGACTAATGATGGCTCTTTGTCTCATACCTGTACCCAGTCCATTTCCTTTCTCTGGACCCAGCACCTCTAGGACAGTAACTGTCTGTTCTGAAAATTTCAATTAACAATGGCTGTCTTGAGAAAGAGGTGGAGTCTGCATCCAGTCTCAGAAGGGAGGCGTGCCACAATCTGTTAGTAATGTTTGCCCCAGGAAGAGAGGTTGGAACTGCAGCCTGCGTGGAGGGTACCTGACATCCCTGGGCCCATACACTCACTGAAGCTTCATGTTTGGGACTCATAGAAACAGCTGCCCCCATGGCTTGAGCTCCCTGATGATGAATTTCCTGGGCTAGCATAATACTGACAATCTCTAGATCCCTGCCTGCCTCCTCTATTATATAACTTAGAATGAGCCTGAGCTGTTTACATGTTAGGTACCAGAAGGATGGAGCAGTCCGGAGAGAAAGAAAAATAAGAGTAATGATATAGGTCTGATACAGGCCAGAGAATCCAAGGTGTGGTTTAGAATGTCAGGGTCAGGGGCGCCTGGGTGGCTCAGTCGTTAAGCATCTGCCTTCAGCTCAGGTCATGATCCCTGGGTCCTGGGATCGAGCCCCGCATCGGGCTCCCTGCTCAGCAGGAAGTCTGCTTCTCCCTCTCCCTCTGCCTCTCTGCCTACTTATGATCTCTCTCTGTCAAATAAATAAATAAAATATTAAAAAAAAAAAAGAATGTCTGGGTCAAATGCTGCTAAGCACTAACTCATTCTGGGACCCTGGGCAAGTTTTGACCCTCACCTGGCCTCAGTCTCCCCATGTGACATTGGACTACATCAGGAATTGTCAGTGGGGATGAAACTACTTCTTAGGGGGTGATGTGGACTTCTAGGGACATTCTCAGTGTCACAGTGATTAGAGGCTGCTTCTGGAATTCAGTGGGCAGGGGACAGGAATAGTAGGTAACCTACAATATGTAGGACAGTCCCTCACAACTGTCCCATGTCCTACTGGACACTCATGGACAGGAAAAACTTGTTCATAATTATCTGATGCTAAAATCTGGCTCTGCTTTAAATATGAATACAATTCATTTTTGGCACAACTGGTGTATGTCGAATTTTTGAAAAAATGGAATTACCATGTACATCAAGGGTAGAGTACATCTTAAAAATAGTTGTATTGAGTTGTGATTTACATCCTATAAAATTCACTCATTTCTAAAGCATTATCAATCCAGTGAAGTATTTAACCGCTTCAGTGATGTCAGCACCCTGGATAAGCCAGGCCATCATCACCATGGTGCAGACTCAGAACATTTCCATTCCTTGCACCTGTTTGTAGTCAACTCCTGCTCCACCCCCAGGCAGCTATTGATCTGTTCTCTGTCTCAATAGATTTTTTTTCCCTAGAAATTTCACATAAACAGAATCATACAACACATAGCCTTTTGAGTTTCTTTTTACTTAGCGTAATGTTTTTTGAGGTTCAGCTGCATTGTGCCATGGGTGATTAGTTTGCTTGCTTCTTATGACTGCTGAATAGTATTCCACTGAAGTGCACCACCCTTTGCTTTTCAACCCATTGCCAGCGGATAGACATTTGGAAGGTCTTCCTGTTCTGGCTGCTGTAAATAATGCAGCTGTGAATTCTCCTGTACAAGTCTTTGCATGGACGTGTGTTTCTGTTTCTCTTGAACATATACTTAGGAGTAGAATTTGTTGGGTTACTCTATTAGTAATATTACTTTAATCAAGGGGAGGGGGGTAGGGGGATGGGTTAGCCTGGTGATGGGTATTGAGGAGGGCACGTTTTGCATGGAGCACTGGGTGTTATGAACAAACAATGAATCATGGAACACTGCACCAAAAACTAATGATGTAATATATGGTGATTAAAATAACAATAAAAATTAAAAAAAAAATAAAAAAAATAAAAAAATATTACTTTAATCAAGAGTTGTTTGGGCGCCTGGGTGGCTCAGTTGGTTAAGCGACTGCCTTCGGCTCAGGTCATGATCCTCGAGTCCCGGGATCGAGTCCCGCATCGGGCTCCCTGCTCAGCGGGGAGTCTGCTTCTCCCTCTGACCCTCTTCCCTCTCGTGCTATCTCTCATTCTCTCTCTCAAATAAATAAATAAAATCTTAAAAAAAAAAAAGTTGTTTAAATTCTTTTGGAATTCATTTTGGCCAGCGCAAAATGAACCCCTGAACCACCAGTGCTGGAACTCACTTTGGGAAACTGACACGACTCATAGTGTCTGAGTCACCAATACATCCCTGTGCATTTGCAGCTCACACAGACATATACACTGAATCGTATACATGATTTTGTGCGTAGGAGGCTGACTTCTTCATTATGTCTCTAGCTGGGTTGTACCCAAACACGTCCATATTAAAGTATATATTCCCAATAAATTACTTTAACTTCTCCTATTTAATATAGTAAGAATATTAGGATGATTTTTTAAAAAATCATATATACAGGTTGCTTATATTATTTGTTTCATTTCAGGATAGTAAAGAGGGTACATAAAATATTTTTTAGAGTAAGGGGGGCTTGGGACAGATTGGGAAGGACTGATGACTTCAAGGGCCCTGATACCTGTGAGTTTCAAAATCTTGTGCTCAGAGTGGCTTCATTAGAAAGGCTACTGAGGATAACGCAGAGGTGAAGCCAACAGCAAATCAAGGCAATTGTCTCGCACCAGTTGCTTTGATCATGGGACTATGGCCTAGCTCTTTTAGGCCAGAAGCAGAGAGACTGAGAGGAATAAAAAACCCAAGAGAACCATCTTGAAAATGTACAGGAAGAGCTTCAGATTCTATTACTCAGCCTGGGTTTCACAGTGAGTCAGAGTTGCAGGCTGACCCAGCAGGTCCCTCCCCACACGCTACAGAGGCAGAAAGGGAGGTCTGCACAAGGCGCAACCCCCTGCCCCAACCTGCTCTTGGGGGATCTTGAAAGCCTCTTGACTAGATGTCTCTTCAATCAGACGTTCTGTGGTCCTATAGAGACAGCCTGGGGAGGGAAAAGGATGAACACAGAGCAGACCTCAGGCTCCTTTCTGCTTGCCCAAGCAACTCCGGCCCAGGCTTGCCTCCTTTCCAATTAACCTGACCTACCGTCCAGGTAAGTAGGCAGCACTTACCTGTTGTGATCAGGCAAGGGAGTTGGGGAGGTCTCACCACCTCCACCCGTTTCAGCTGGTTCACCGAAGTATGTGCCTGTGTTACTTTACCTCCCTGGAGTCCTGGAAAATAAAACGATCTCCACCGCGTTATGTTCCTCGGTGCTTTCTTGCCCCTCGGTGCAGGGACTGGAGACCTTTGATTTGCTCCATGATCTGGCTCTGCTGGTGTCAGGTTCTTCCCACTCTCAGGGCTGCCTCGCCAGTTAAAGAAACATTCACTAGAGCAGTGAATCTGACGCTGGGAGATCAGGCCATGCAGGAAGGGGGCACAAGCACGGCCTTGGGACCCTCTGGGCCCACCTGTAAATGGGTTGTAGACAGGGAATCCCCAGGTGGGGCTCAGCAAGCCCCCAACACCGCCCCCGCCTCCCCCACCCGGAAGCCCTTCCTGGAAGTGGGGGTATGGAGGAGGAGGGAATCCAGTGTTCTGGGGCTATTTTTTTCACCCCGGGTCATGTCATCATACAATTCTGGATTTCTAGGGCTTGGGTGTTTTTTGTTTTTAAAGCACAGACCTTGACAATTCGCCCGCAAAAGCGCTAGATATCTGCAAAGGAAGCGTCGTCCCAAAGGAGCCTTTGGTGCCCAGAGAGGTCCACTGGGCCTTGGCGACTGGGGCACACACCTAGGACACGGCTGCCTGGCCTGCCCGGACCGCGGGCCGCGTGCGCGGGGCAAGCACGCGGGCAGGGGCCGGGCAGGACGCCTGGCCCAGAGGGCCGCCCACATGCTGGAGGCCCAGCTGTCTATGTGGAGCCCTGCAGCTCATGCCCAGGGTGGGCACCAACCTTCCTTTTATCTATGGAGCTGCACCGAGCTTTCTCAGGTACAAGCCCGCGGCGAGCGAACGTTCCAGGCTGCCGAAAGCTGCTGTAGCGCGAGGCTACAGCCGCCAGCGTGCGCAGGAAGAGGAGGGCCGGGGAGGGGCACGAGCTAACCCCCCCCGCCCCCGCCCCCGCCCCCGCCCCCGCGGCAGGACCAACAGCGCCGAAGGCGGGGCCTCGCAATTTGCCGTCGCCTCCAGCTCGCTACCTTCCCAGAGGCGTTTTCTGGTGTTTATGATGGAGAATTGCGGACTGTGGGACGGGCACTTTGAAATCTGGCTTCTTTAGGGCTTCTGGAGCAAACTTCCCAGCTGTGGAGTAATCCGGAGCTCCAGGAGCCCTCTGGGAAGCTGCTCCATTACAGACATTTACCAAGGAAAAATTAAAAAGAACAGTCAGCCTGGTTTTGATAAGAGGCGCCTATCTCGCCCTGGGAAGCCGGGAGTGTGTGCCTTGCAAGCAAATCGCAGTGCCTGCCTGAGCATCCAGGGAAGCTGAATTCACGGCTTTAAAAAAAACGAGTGATCATACCACCCACGTGCTTTTAAGAACTAAAGCTAGAAATGATAAGGTTATTTTTAACTGCGTTATTTGCTCACTGCTGATTAAGCACACACTTTCCTTGCACCCAGGTAGATGTATAGAGGAAGCCAGCAGGACAGAAAGAAGTATGGCCAAGGGCCTTGGAGTCAAGCTGTTTGCATTTGCATCTAACCCTTCAACTTCCTATCTTTGTAATCCTCCGATCCTCAGTTTCTCATTTGAACCCTCCTAGGGCTGCTGTGAGGATTAAATGAGACCCATGGAAAGTGGGTAGAGTAGGAGCAGGCATAGGATGAGCATCCCAACAAACGTCAGTGGTTATAAAGTGCCTGACCACCAGTTTGCATATGCAGCAGCTAACCCGTGAATTAGCTAATTTTTATAGTAGGATGGTGGGCTTTGTCGCTGTACACAGGCTAAGTTAAATCCTTCATGGTGCACAAACATGAATTCTTTTCCTGTAGGGTCCAGCACCATTTCAAGATCTGCTTTATTCTATAAAATGTTAAATTGGACAAGGTCCAAATAAATCATGTCCCCAGACCATTGAATTTTTTAAATGTAAACTCAATGGTTTTCAGCATATATGCAGAGTTGACCAACTATCACCGTAATCTAATTTTAAATAATTATCATGACCGGCTCACCTGGGTGGTGCAGTCGGTTAGGTGTCAGACTCTTGGCTTTGGCTCAGGTCCTGGTCTCAGTGTAGTGAAATCAAGCCCCATGCTCAGTGGGGAGTTTGCTTGGGTTTCTTTCTCCCACTCTTTCTGCCCCTCCCCTGCCCTCTCTAAAATAAATAAATCTTTTTTTTTTTTAAAGATTTTATTTATTTATTTGAGAGAGAGAGAGCATGAGAGGGGGTTGGGTCAGAGGGAGAAGCAGACTCCCTGCTGAGCAGGGAGCCCGATGCAGGACTCGATCCCGGGACTCCAGGATCATGACCTGAGCTGAAGGCAGTTGCTTAACCAACTGAGCCACCCAGGCGCCCTAAATAAATCTTTTTAAAAAATTCATTTTCATCACCCCCCCAAACGAAACTGTACCCACCAATTAACATAACAATAAAAATAAAAAAAAAGAGAAAAGAAAAGAAACTGTACCCACCAGCAGTCATTTCCTACTTTCTCCCCACCCTCCTCCTCCCAGCCTTTTGGAGTCTGTCTCTACGGATTTGCCTATGCTGAACATTTTATAAAAATGGAATCATATAATATGTAGTCTTTTGTGACTGGCTTTGCTTTCACTTAGCCTAATGATTTCAAGTTTCATCATAAGTCAGTAGGCCTTTGGGTTGTTTCCACTTCGGTGCTATTATGAATAATGCTGCTGTGAATATTCTGTACAAGATTTCATGTGGACAGATGTTTTCATTTCTCTTGGCTGGCAGGAGTGCAGCTCCCGGGTCATTAAGTAACTCTATGTTTATCCTTTGAGGAACTGTCAGTCTGTTTTCCTGCACCTTTCCACATTTTTATTTTTTTTGCTCCATTTTTTATTGTTAATGTTAATCACCATACATTACATCATTAGTTTTTGATGCAGTGTTCCGTGATTCATTGTTTGTGTATAACACCCAGTGCTCCATGCAGAACGTGCCCTCTTTAGTACCCATCACCAGGCTAACCCATCCTCCTACCCCCCTCCCCTACCTTTTCACATTTTTATACTGGCAATGTACGAGGGTTCCAACTTCCCCACAGCTTCACTAATACTTGTTACTGTCGATCTCATGGTTTTCATTTGGATTTCCTTGCTGGCCAAGGATGTTGGGCATCTTCTCGTAGCTTATTGGCCATTTGCCTGTCTTCTTTGGAGAAATGTCTATTCAATCTTTTGCCCACTCAAAAATTGTTTCATTTGTCTTTTTGTTGTTGAGTTGTCAGTGTTCTTTATAGATTCTGGATTCATGTCTAATCCAATATATATGATTTGCAAATATTTTCTACCATCCTGTGGGTTGTCTTTTCACTTTCTTGATGGTGTCCTTTGAAGCACAAAAGGTTTCAGTTCTGATATAGTCCAGCTTGTGAATCTTCTCTTTTACCACTTGTCCATTTTTTGTCATATCTAAGAGCTCATTGTCTAATCCAAGGTCATGAAAGTTTACTATGTTTTCTTCTAAGAGTCTTATAATTTCATCTTCTAAGAGTCTTATAATTCTATCTTTGTTCAATTTCAGTTGAACAGAAAAGGAAACTAAGGCCCCGTGAAGGTACGATTTGCTCCAAATTACGTTGCTTATAAGTGTCAGGTAATTCTTAAAAGAACAGCTTAATTTTATACAAGCTGATATCAACAGAGCTTCAAGACCTAAGGCAGCCTCAAGTCATGTTAAAAATCAGAGTCTAAAACCAAATTTATACTCATCCTGAAATGGAATCAACCTTTAATTGGAGGCTAATAGTAAAGTAAGAACAGACCTCATTTCTCGAGCAATTAGTCTGGGTCAGGCACTGCAACATGTATTCCCTTTCCACTTCTCAAAGCCACATCGTCAATAGGTACTATTATTATCCTTATTTTAAAGATGAGGAAATGGTTCCCAGAGTGCTTTTTAAGTAACAGGTCTGAAATCACACAGTTAATAAGAGGCAGAGCTGGATTTTAAACCCAGGGCGCTCATTCTTCTTGTAGGGTGAACTATTAGAAAAACTAATGACTATGGCTGAAACCCTAATAAAAGGGCTTCTGACAAGATAGGTACCTGCTGATGACACAAAGTGGACCCCAACTGTCATGCCCATTCCTTGTCACATCTGTTGGTAATTTCTCTTGGTGGGGTTGTGTTGATTTGTGGTGGCAAGAACCCAGACACCACAAAGCATCTGGGCTGCAATGGAAGTCCTGATTCGTTTTCTGTAAATCCAATTTTCCACTTGGTTTGGCTAGGGCAGGAGGATGTCAAATTCTGTGACAGAGGTCAGTCCTATAAGGTGTTTGTCTCTATTTACATAATTCACTGGAACATTCTGGGGGGAGGGGAAATCCATCTTCACTGACATTAGCCTCGGGAACTCTCCCTGGCAGGAGAGAGAAGCAATCCCAGGGTTAGGCCTGTACAGAGGTCTAAGTTTGCAGTTTCAACCAGGCATATTTATTTACATGTGGAAATTCCCAGTGGGAAGCTGAAGAACACAACTTAGGAGTGGTCCCCAAGTGGGAAATTGAATAGTACACTAAGCTCCTTTTATTTCCATTTAATTTACCATTGGTATCATTACCATTATTTTGTTAATCATTTCACTAGCAATGATGTAACTTGGGACCAGCCGAGGTAATTGCGGCCAAATGGGAGAGACGCTCATCTGCAGTATTTTAGTTAGCAAAAGCTTTCATTCACCTTTTTAGGGATGGGTATTAGTTCTTTCCTTTATTCATGGAGCAGAGAGCTGCCGGGAAATGCTGAAGATATTGGGAGCTCCCTGCAGCTTAATGAACTCTACACTTGGTTGAAAAGAGGTTTCTGTAATTTTCAGCTTGCTGCTGCCTGAAAGTATCACACTGCACAGCCAGGTGGTTTCCTGAGATTCTAACAAGCCCATGTGAAACACCAGGACTGCCCCACGGCCTGAGCAGTACGGAGTAACTATTCACCCTTGGCTTCAGAGACCTGACTCTACCGTCTGAGAGGCTGTGTGACTTCGGGCAAACTGCATACGCTCTCTGGGTCTCTATTATTTCTCAAAAGGAGAAATACTACTTACTGCACAGATTCTCAGGCAGTAAATGACATAAGATGGGTAAAAGGCTCAGAGCATGCCTTGGCTCATACTAGGTGTTCAATACATGCTGTTTCTTTCCTGAAGAAGTGCTCCTATGGACTCTCCTCCTGAGCTTCAGGATTATTTGGCAGCCAAGTACAAGGAAGTTCTGAGAAACTAGTGGCTGGAAGGAAGGTAGTTTTCGGGTGGCAAAAGTGAAGACCTTGGAGAGGCTACAGAGGTTGTTCATGATGGGACGCAGACGGCTCGCTCACCCTGAGACTCCAAGGTGGTCTCTGTTTGGGGGCTGGAGCCCTCCTATGCCCTCCCTCACTCCTCCACTTAGCCCACTGCTGTCTTTCAGGCCCTCCCCTGTGCTAGACAAGCCCTTCTCAGGGTCCTCCCGTAGGCTGCTCCCTCGGCCGGTCTCCTCTCTCCCCTAACCCCCTAGTCACCTAGTCCCCTAGGTCTTGGCTTCTCCCTCATGTCCTCGCTGGACCTGCCCCTGATCAGCCCTCACAGATCACCCTGTGGTGCTCTGCCCAACGCAGATTGGTTCCTAGCTAAATGGGCTTCTGTTTGTATGAGATTTTTAATTTCAAGTTATCTCTCACCACCAGACAGTTGTTTCTCAAAGCCTGGGTCTGGTACTTTTTTG